TATTCCCAAAAGCATCATCCTCTCCACGGCAGTACTGGCCTCTGCCTCCCTATCTTCCTCCTCAATCAGCTGGCTAGAGAGACATTTCAGGATTTCGACCCTATCTGGTCGAACCATGCTTTCAACTGAGGTGGCCTCACTAGCCAATCTGTCGGCTTTTTCATTTCCCCTAACACCAGCATGGCCAGGGCAGAAAATCTATGCGAGTGATCATATAGGCGTTGCTTCGATAACTTGAATCCATTCTGTTCTCAGGAAACCTTTTTCGGTACTTCTGAGGGTACACATGGAATCAGTGATAAGAACAGCATGGGTAGTGTGGGGGCGATCTTGGGCCACCCAATCAAGTGCTTTTGCGATGTCTTCAATTTCCGTTCGCATACTTGATGTAGCCCTGCTGCAGGCTCCAGGTGCACTGTCTATGATTTTATTGTTGGCGGATGCAACGAATCCCCATCCACTTCGCTGGCTATCTCTTTTCGCCGAACCATCTGTATAAACTAAAGGATCCCCTGCTTTTGAGTTTGTGTCGACAAGCTCGTTGATATCGCTCTCGTTGATGGGAGTCGCAACTTTTCTTCTGTCTCTGCCCATGCTTATTTTGACCTTGGTGAGGTCCCTGTATTCTCCGGCCACCTGTTCCCATTCTTCGCCATGTGATAGGCTCTCAGGTACACCTATTTTTTTATATTTTTTATTATAGTGAATTTTCTGCTTCCGCCATCCAAGATTTTCCTCTTTTGGTTCTGCCTCCTTTTTTGTCAGGAAGTGCTATGTGAAGTGGATGATCCTTCCTGCCCATTACACTGAGATACATCTTTGCTTGAGCTATCCTATGCGTACTCTGATGCCACTTAAACCTAGCAAGTAGCACATGCACTATATTGGAGTGTCCTTGGTGCAGCCCAGCACTGCTCTCATTGCCTCATTCTGCACTCGATCCAGCTTTGCGATCTGTGTGTCGGACAGCGTGAGACAGCCTAATCCGCAATCAATGACAGACAGGACGACCAGCTGCAACATCAGGAAGAGCACTCTTTGTGGAATCAGAGCGGCCGCCATGGCCTTGATTGCACCAACACCTCGTTTGGCCATTGTACCACATGATCCACATGCTTGTTGAAGGACAACGACCTGTCGAAGGCGATCCCCGGATACTTCAGCTCTGACTGTCTGTCGATAATCTAATACTTGCAAGTGATTGGTGGAGTTATGTCTTGGACAATCCTGTTGTCGAGGGAACATCAAAGTACCTGTGCCTTTGAAGGATTGACTACTGCTTCATTTTGGTCGCACCATGTTACAACTGCGTGAAGTCTTTTCTCCATGTTCATTGCCTTCTGAAGTCTGTCATCTCCGTGCGTGTATGCCATTATGTCATCCGCAAAGCTCAGGACACGTCCAGATTCCTTCTGATGCATCGTTACCTGTGCAGTGTACACATTGAAAAGCACAGAAGAGAGGGGGGGGGGGATCATTGGGGCAGTACTGGGGCAATTGATACCGGATATGAAGTTCATTCACCCTGTCTCAGGGCCATTTTTCTCTCCTCTTAGGCCGATCCCAGAGTGGCTCTGTAGGTCTGACCTGTAGCTCGCCTAGCGCACGCCGTCTGCGTGTCAGCACAGCCGCACTGTAAGTTGGCGCCTGTGTCTCAGCGAGCGCGAGCCACACTCGCTGGGTGTCAGCACAGCCACACTGTGTATTGACGTGTGTAGGTGTGCAACTGACGGGTCTGCCTTGCTATTATTAGGTACTGTCATTGTGTAATCCAAGACCAATAAGTAGGCCTATGCCTAGGCCTATGGCCTATACTAAGACGGGACAACTCTTCTTTAGGTGCAGGCCGCTCCCACTTTTTGCAGCTGCTCATATAACTCGCTGGACTGGCGATAGTTTACAATTTACATTGGTTACAATGCAAGGCTACTATCTACATGTACTGATCATCTCGGGTGGTAGATCTAGATCTATGTCAGCCTAGACCTACTAGAATGGATTTATTTTAGCCCAGAAAGAAAGAGAATGAATAAACGTGTATCTAGATCAAGATCAAGATCTAGAATCTAGATTTTGTAGTGCACCCAGCAAAGAGTGTGCAGTTCGGACAGTAGATCTAGACCTAGATTTATCTAGATCTAGCTCTAGAATCTAGAGGTTGGCGAAGGACCGATAGGGCGACTCTATGCTACTTGCCTGTGAATTTGCGGAGACACGCTATCAATACTGGGCAAGTGCCGTCACAACAGTTTCCTTCCGCTGCTGAAAGCCTTCATAGATGTCGTACGCCATGACAGCCCGCATTCACTGCAGTTTCTCGATGTGGTCTACTCCCACTCACACACACACACACACACACACACACACACACACACACACACACACACACAAACACACACGCACACGCGCGCGCGCGCGCACACACACACACACACACACACACACACACACACACAAAACGACTTTTCACAACTGACCTCAGTGCTTTCTTGTCGTATTTCCATTTTTAAACAGTGAAAATATGACATCTTCTTAAGCTCACTGTAATCTGTGTCGCCACTGTGTGGCACCATCTTGAAAACAAAAAGTCTAGAAGGATCTATAAACCATGGGAACGTCCGTGAGAAACATTCTAATTTATGGTTTTAAATATCGCCCATCCATCTAGCTCTATTCTGTTGGTAATCAAGTACTGGATTCCCAATCTTTTCCCGCAGGTCAAAATACTACTTCAACATGGGGCCGACCCCAATCTCGGCTCAACAGAGTCTCCTCTGGAAAGAGCAGCTTCCCGTCGTTTCAATTTCAAAGACGTCATCCCACATCTGTTCAAGGCCGGAGCTTGTACTGGTCGTTCTGTCCATCTGGCTATTAGGTATGGACACCTGGACTCCGTGCAAACATTAATCACTAATGGAGCCATGCCTATGTCAAAAGACATGTCGCATTCACGGGGGCACACGTATACGCCATTCAGCTTCTCAATACACCGAGGACTACTAGAAGTGGCGAGATTCTTTCTTAGTATAAATTTCTTGCTACCGTGCGACCTGAAACTTAACCAGAATAATATGCCTACGCTGACATTCATGACGGAAGACCAAACGAATACTGTGTCCAGCTTTGTGGAAGATCTGTGTTCACAACCGTGGAGCCTGGAGAGATTAAGTTTCGGGGTAGTGTCCTCTGTGTTGGGATTTGGAAAGGATCGGGCCTCGAAAGTCAATTTCTTAGGTCTTCCAACGGAGTATAAGGATAAATTGATGTTTCGACATAGAACAGCCCATATCCCGGTGGATAAGTGGGGCCTGATTGAAGTGTGAAGAATGAGCAGTTGGTTCAACACGCGTGTATTTATACTGAGTTTATTGGACGCAAATCGATGCGTGGGCTATTTACACAGTTTAAATACACCGTACATGTACTTTATTTAGTGGCGTCCAAAAGAAACTTGAAAATGTAATCACCCAATCAAAGGGTTAACTTAAAGCCGTGCACTTCCCACTCTTGCAGTATGCCAATTTAAAGCTAAATAAGCTCTGCATCATCTAACCCATTGATATTTTATATAATGTAAAGAGACACCCGAGACTTTGTCACTCAAAACTGATCTTTAAAAAATCAGGCTAGGCAAACTTGTGCGAAATCAAAGAAACGTAATAATGTGTTGGCGCGTATTTTGAGGTGCATCAACATTAGGGGAATGGACATGCATTGAATATCAAACGAAAAGAGAATATTATTGTCTCTTCAATGAACAGCATCTTCATATGATATTTTCAAACAGATTGGAAAACAGAGCAGTTACATACCACGTAAAACCTGGACTTAAAGGGGGGG